TCGAATTTGAATTTAGGAAGTTGGTTTGGTGAATAAAAGAACTCACAGACAGCCGTCGGAACCAAGACGATGTAATATTCTGTCCGAGAGAAGTCGATTTAATTTCAACATGGCTCTGTCAAGATCCCCATGCGAATAAAAACAGCGGTTGAACGTCGGGCATGCGCGAGGGGATCAGTTCCGGTGAAATTTCATAGGAAAATATAACAAACAACCGCTGTCTCGTAAAATGTGCGAAAGAAAATTGACGAGTTCATAAAAATCTGTTATTGGAAACAAAAGAAGGGAAAAGGAAAACTCGAGAGAATTTTCGAACACAAAGCCTATTCAAGCACTGGTATCCTGTCATTACAGAGACGTTTGACCGCTGTGTTATACGAAACTTTAGTATCCACGAAATACCGCTGATCATTACAGACGAGAGCGAACGAATAAAAAACTCAAAGTTGTACCATGCGTGACGGACACGAAGGGGAAGAGAGAGAACAGCCCTCCTTTGGTTGCCCTTGTGGTTTACTTAGTGAGACCTCTATTAAATTGAGTCCACTACGCATGGTTATCCATCCTTGTTTTGAACAAAAAAGAATATTTGAATCCTATTAGAAACATTTCTCAAATTGATTATCTTATCATTCATACAAAATTATTGATTACCGCCGGCCTGTGATGGATGTCTTAATCGCTGAAAAATACTGGATTAGTAACAAATGTGGAGAGGAAGGGAGTTGACGGAAAATAAACACAAAAAAATGTCTGAGGTAACTTTAGGGGTCAGCGGAAAAATCTTGACATAAATCTGCATTCCAACTGATGTTTGCGTGATTGAAATGATTGTCACACTCCTCACATCGACAAAATAATTTTACCAATGTGACAGGCGTCTCCTTTTGCAAGTACGAGGGTTTATTTGATTTGCTCAAAACTAATTGAAAAATAACGACAAATAAGAATACAAACAAACCGGAAAAACTTTGTAAATCGCATTAAATAGATTTTTTGATAACAGCCCCTACGACTTCCGCAACTTTATATTTTCCTAGCTTTAAAACAAACTAGACTCTGTTCTAGACCATCTGAGCGTTATTCTATGTACTCAAATATCAATAGTACAAAGTTTGAATTCGTTTTAAAGTTCCTTTTCCTTTTGATGTCGGGGAGCAATGTTTAACAAGTTCTAACTCTGCACTGAGTTTGATAAGATTGGTGGAAATGGAAAGATATATGTCGGATTAGGAATCTGAGCATTTAACCTCAAAAGTTAGGTGCTACCCTTTTAATATAATATTTCTTTTGCACTAAAAGTTTGAAGCTCTGGAATCAACATGTCGTCTGTGGTAGAAACATTCCCTTTGAAAAACAACGAAATGAACTGTTGACGCACAAATTGATCTTGGTACAGATAATTTCGCATCACGCACGAACTGCTGGCCTTTGGAACCTTTACAGAAACCTTTGGTTAATTAGGAGTGGCTGTCATTAGACGATAAGCACAGTGAAGATTGATGTAGCTGGGGAATCGCCAAAAAAACAAACAATCTTGTCGGTTGCCTTACAGGAAATAGGACTATTTATCACACTGGGCTTTTATCACACCCATGGCTTTTAATAGAGCAGAGCAGGACAAGACGTTGGAGATAATATGTTTGAGTGGGAGATAACTTGTTTGAGTGCAGATCGAATGAAGCTTTTGTCCTCATTATGAGGTACTAATAATCGAACTTACTTCACAGTTTGGACAACTGGAAGATGAAGGATTACATATGCCTTATATCAAACTGGTGTCATGGACATTTAACTGATGTATCAAATAAATTCCGTACGGTTTATATTTTGCACTGGTATTTGAACACATACAACATTTAAATCTACTGATTACGTCTAAGAGAAAGCGCGAATTTCTACCAAAGAAAGAGCGACTAGCATTCGTAAACATAAACATAACTCTTCGTCTATTAACCATCCATAATTGGTTTCTAGAACAGACGCAAATAACTCGATCACGTCCATTACTTGCTGTCAAATAAAACGCCTCTAAACTCACCTTGCACGATGTAAAACTGTGCCAGAGAAATACCCACAAGCAATAAAATCTTTGACGAGAACGCCATACTCTAAATTCGCTCTCCACACAAGTCGTTAAAGACAGCTATGCCTGCCAAACTGCGATCGAGCAATTCAAGGCTCGAGGTAAATAACTACTGACCTGTGACTCTTCTCAGCCTAGTAGGCATCAAAATCATGACGTCATGAAATTGAACACGGCCGCTATTATGTTGTGTTAAAAAGCTTGAGGCTTTTTTCTGTCAAAATGATATATTAATGACAGAGGCTTCTTCCTCTCCCAAATTCCAAATATTTTTTTTAAATTCTAGGCCCTGATCTCCCGAGATATCATTATTGTGATCGCATTCAACAGAATGATCTTACCCCCGCCGAAATAGACCTCGAAAAGTGTAATATAAAAAATCCGTTTCTAGGTCAGAATCTTTCTTCTTAAAGATCGCAGATAACTGTTACAAATGGCGAGAACGTAGCTTACGTGTAGCTGTACCCTTCACCCCTTCCCCCCCCCCCCCATTCCCAAGGAGAAACGGAAGGGAAGGAACGTCCACGAAGCGTGTCCTATGAAGTAACTCTTTTGCAAGAAAATATATAATGACTTTAATTGGTTAACTCTATTTTATTTCGTGAATTCTGATTGCTAGAGTTGGTGGTTTTCTTTTATACTAATGATTACGCTGTTGACTAGAGTGCTTTCATGGTCAACTTTACGGACAATAGCGACTTACGACGAGGTTTTAAGGCAAGTTTGCGCAACCTTTGGGATAGAGACATTTGAAGAAGAACGGTAGAAAGCCATAGATATGTTTTTCGAAGATAACGACGTCTCCGCCTTGTTACTAACTGGCTATGGAAAATCTCCAATATATCAAGCCGCGCCAGAAACCGATCGCCTCTCTTCTCTGAACAGAAACTGTTCACAATATTTGTCGTACCGCCCGTTAAAGCGCTCTTGGAAGGCCAGGTAGACTTGGGCCAAGAGGACTGTCTGACTACAACTTTCGGTCTCTTTGCGAACGGTGCTGCGAAGCTAATAAATTTAGTTGTTTCTTGCAGCGATCCTTTCGACTGAGAAAGAAATCTCTTTTTCTTCAAACGTGCAGCGTAACTATCTCGTAAAGAAAGCTGTAAAATCTTGAGATTCTTCGGCAAATGATCCAACTTTTTGAGATGACTGTGGCACTATCTACTATTAATGTAAGCAGATACCGCGTGGGCGTTGATATGGTTTCATAAGCGCGATGAGGAGAGTTTTAGTTGATCCGATGCCAAATTCTCCGAAATTGTATGGCAGACAGTAAGGACAATTACCAAAGAGAACTTTAGCTGGTTGAAAACGTTTGAAAATATTTTCGTCTCATTGTTATTCAAGTATTTGTGAATTTTTACGCACCAGGATAGAAGAATTTTTTTTCATCTTTTCCTCTTTGCTCAAGATGTTTTATATTTAATTGATTTAAATTTAAATTTTTTTTAAGGAACGAGTTTGGTAAAGGAATAGTTCACCTGATTTTATATTGAACACTCGATAAGATTATCGTATAACCCTACACTGTTCTAACATAAAGCCGCGCTCTCAAAGCCAATCATCTTTTGGCCATTGTTTTCTTTATCTTAGAACTATATGCATAATGAAGAGTAAGACTGTGCGGAAATCTTGCCGAGCACTTTTTTAAAGATTTCATTTCCTTCTAAAAACGTTTTAGCTTGAATCTTCCAAAGCTGTCTGACAAGTGTTCGTTTACTGATGATATATATTATCAGGAATAGTTTGCAGCTTTTACAATAGTCGCTAAGAGATTTCTTTTTTAATTGTTTTTCATATACTTCACCTGTATTTGGTTTTATGCACCAGAATTTGGATCAAGATCTTTTAAGTGTGAATAGAAGTTTGCGTATGCCATTTTATCCTCCGAATTTTTTGGCATTTTCGCCGACAAAACGAACATAAGGACATCATTTCGTCCTGAAATATTGATATAAGCACAGCGAATGATGATGAATATGCACAAAACAGCCGGCCAATTATCGACTGTACGTCACAGACAGTACGGAATGTTGTTTGCACGTTCAGCCAGCTAATGAAGAATTAAGAATGTGTAACTGTTTAGTTTCACACAAAGCGCGTTAAATGGAATAGAATGCAATTAAAATGAACGTTATGTACTGTCGTCTTCTTACAAAGGAAATATGATAATAATCAACGTATCTTATTTCTCTTGTGAAGAAAAGGTTGGACCAGTAGAATGCAGAATGAAAAGAATGTAGTCTTTATTTACTACGACAGGATTGTAGAAAAAAGGGGAGAAAGGGAAGCGTTGGTTTTACTTTCTAAGGAAGGGAATAAAAATGAATAGATGGTTACTATCATCCTCCTGTTCAAGTGGATCACTTCCTAAGGATACAAGTAGCTGCTATTCAATGTAAACCGGAGCATCGAGAGACAATAATCCCAATAGACCTGTGCCTTTCAATTAATTGCCAAAACAATTGGTAAACAATTGTTGGGAATTTTTAATTGAAGTCTGACAGCTTACTAACTGAGTTACTTTTAAAATTAGCGCGGGTAGGGCTGCAAGACGTTTTAAAAATCATTTTCAATGTCGATAATTTTATAAATGAACCTCGTTCTCGGCGATGAAGACCATGGTTTTCTCTGGTCAAGTTTCTCGCAGTTTTGTACTTTTTTTAAATTTTTTGTACTGCAATTCTTTTAGTAAATTCCCAAAGAATAGAAAGGAAGAGAAATAAATAAATGACAAATTCATCTCAACCTGGCCTAATTGGACGCAAATTGCGTGGATTCTTTGATATCTTCTTCTATTTTGAGGGCACAAGACCAGGCTGCAATGGAGAATATCTCTCAAGCGCCCCGGAAACAGGACCCTCAAAAACTCCCGGCATTTCACAAAAAATAATACACGACTATTCCACTCAGTCTTTATTGAACGACTACTTTTTTATTAAGCTGATGTAATACAAATTCTTGACTTTGGTAATAAATAGTGACTGTTCAACAGGTTTTCCAAAACTGTTCTAATGGTACAAAATTATTATTTACACATTCTACAAATTAGCATTTTGTTTTTTAAGACGGCTTAAAATTGAGCGTCAAAACTAGCGTTGATCGTGAGAAATCATAAAAGAAAACAATGAAGTTATGTTAGGTAGCAATCGTTTGCAAGAAGAAAAAGGTTAAAGAATAGTTTCTTTCACAATTCTTTGAAAAAACGGGGTGCATACAAAACTAGTTTATTGTTATAATTTGAATGAATTACTGATAATCAATAACTAATAATTGCCAAAGAAACAGTTAGTGATCAAATTACATCGTAATTCTTTTCTCAGGACTTCTTTAATTAAGACAAATCCTTTACATACCTGCGCTATTTTGACCATTCATTGGACCAAGTTCGCATATACGTGTTTTTTTGTTTAAGTTCTCAGTTCCGCTGATTGTTTATTACAAGCATAAAAACAAACGGGACAAAAACCTTTGGTTACATTTTTTTCAAAAAGGACAATTACTTGAAAAATTCTCAGAAAGTTATTACGAATGTGAAGAGGATAGATAATTTTCTGGATAGAAACGCGTTCTTTGAAATAGTTAATTAAATTGCTGATTGAAATGATAATTTTTTGGTAAAAATTTTCCGCATTGCACTTGACAGAACCCTTTGGTAAACAATAGGCCTGCAGGTCATTTGTTGCTGTGCCATTATTGATTCAACATTGATTACTGCTTTCCTTTTATAGAAAACTATCGAAGGGCACAGAAAGCATCAGATTCTAAGATGAGAATGACCGTGAGTTCACAGATTTTCCACAAGTGGAACAGTGAGTGTGTACGAACTTGTGTTAACAGTTTTAGCGGGAATGGTCGTCAACATCATTGGACGAATTCCGCGAAAATAGCATCGAGGCGAATGCAAGATACCGAAACTGCTTACTGAGCGCAATGAAGCTCGACATAGAATATTTTTTTTCAATTATTTCCCTAAAAGTTTGTATTGAGACCTCGAGCGTGTTTTCGAGTTTGTCCTGGAGTCGAAAGGATCTTTAAAACTATTCAAGGCAGTACAAAACGTATCAGAATTTCAAAGTTTGCATGTACGCTAATATTGCCTACGTGTTACTTTGCTTCTGGAATTTTCGCATGAAACAATTGTCTATTGAAGTTACTTTTACCTGCATCACAAAAAGTGCATTATTTTGGAACATACTTAAAGTACAGAAACTACCTTGTACTTTGTGTAAGTTTTTTTGGTTTGCTGAAATTTACTGCTCCCTTAGTAGTCGTAGTAATTTCGATATGCCTGTGTAATTCCATCAATATTCTCTGTAGGGGAAGAACAGTTTGTTCTCTTAGTTTGCCATTGGACAAATGATTCAGTACTCGATTCCATAGGCGAAGGAAAACGTTTTGACTTCGTGAAGTCGCGAGATTCTAACAAATCCAAAATCAGACAGACGTCACAGAAAAATTACCTTTCGTTTCCTCTTTAGAACCTCCTGGCGGCGCATTACTATTTCCAGTTCTCTCTAAAAGAGATATCAGAGCCTCCACTCTGCTTTCTAGTCTCTGCATATTAGTAGCCATTTCCTCGAAACGTTCCTCAAAGTTTGCTTTTCTCGAAGGCCTAAACTCAGTTTTACAGTCAGAGCAGGTCGACTTCGCTAAACTTATTTTATGCTGTGGAGCTTCCTCTGTAAAATCCTTCTTGATAATTTCATCCTCCTCCTCATCTTCTTCACTAGTTCTAACATTTTCATTTACATCATCAGGCGATTCCATTTCGATGTTAACTAACTGCGTTACGTTGATAAAACGCCCAATTGTTTCATTGGAGGTGTTATCTTCTATAGAAATACTCTTGTACTTGTTTAAGTCTCCATTGCCGAGCCGCTCTTTCGAACTGTGAGGAGGTTTTTTTTCTAGCAACTTACTGCTTCGAACGCCTAGCATTGGTTTCATTTCAAATTCGTGATCCACCATCAATGAGTTTTTCTTGTGCGTACAAGATGATTTCCTCAACCCTGACCCATTCTTTCCAGCTTCGTAAACGCCTCCATTACCATTTTCATTTGCAACGCCCTGTAAGAAAAAGGACCAGTCATCTTATCAAAATTGCGTTTTAAGAAATATTTCAAATCATTCGAACATTAGCGACAATTTCCAGTAGTGTAATAAATCTCCATTTAACCACGCTTGGTAGAGACCCTACTGCGAGGATATCGAACTTCCCATCAAGTCCTCGGGCCGATATTTGGTAGTGCAGCCCCCGCGCTTGGTTAGTGAGGGATATGTAGAGTAAATTATATGGAATAACCAATGACGGATACAAGGGGAGGGTCCATTAGGTCCAGAACCACCCCCACCCGGGAACGCTCGGGGCCGAACGGGTTGTATACATTTAGTAAATGCTATCATTTGTTACCGATATGTCGAGTAAAACAAACTAAATCACCTCATCATACAGATCATTTTGATCAGCAGCGTCCATCATTCTCAGTAGCTGAGAGCGTAGGTTAGGATATGACCTCAATATGTCTGCCAGATCTTTGAGCTTTATCACATGACAGTCTACGCATGTTGACGCTCGTAAGGTCACTACAGCCCGTGGACGAGAAGAAATCTGCCTTAAACTGGCACCGTATGCATCTCCTTCCCCTTTAACATCGACAAAAAATAAAAAGGAATTAGAGGACTGTTACTTAACTGTTTAATACGGCCACCTGCATGCTTATCCGCAAAAACGCTTTTGCTCATTTTGGGCAGCAACAGAAGAGATCAATAAAAACATATCTATGTTTGTAACATCAAAATTTCAAAGCAATCTCTCAATCAATCAATCATCAATCAATCGGTTGGTCAGGCGGTCAGTCAGTCAGTCAGTGGGCCAGACAGCAGTTAGTCGGTTGGTAATCATCAAATTATCTAGTCAGTCAGTCAGTCAAAAGGAAGAATGTTTAATATTTATTTACCACGGATATCAATGTTGCGCCGCTGAGCGCTTTCTGCCTTCACTAGCGCCTTATCTTGTCATCTTATCAAGATAGAATACAGCACCAATCTCCTTAAGAATGTAGGAGACAACTGTAACAATACCTACGCTAAAATATTTTCATCCCCTTAAATCAGTACATGATTATAAAGCCTTCCATTCCCTGGAAACATTTTTGTCGACTCACGCATTCTTCCACGTGTTTCGCTGTACATCATGATGTCGATTTTCCCCCGCCTGACAAGATGCACAGAGTCGACATCATCACCCTCGTGTAGAATTTGGTGGCCAGGAAGGTGATGATGTCGGTGCATCTTCTTCGAAAGCGCTCTCAAGCAGCCATCTTCGAAATCTCGGAAGAGAAATGAGTGAGACAGAACAGTAAGGTGCATGTGAAGGTGAACTTCGTATTGAAGACCATCCGGAAACTTTTGAAGGACCTGCGTGATGAGTTTAAAAAAAAGTACGTTAAATCCCTTGAAACCAACTGCTTTTTTTTAAATTTGGTTCATTCAACGAAAGTAATCTGTGTGACAAGACTGCTTAACTAAATCAGTCGCATTTCGATCGAGTGTCGTAAAAATGAACTCAAAGTACTTCAACCTCCCATTAGAAAACACGAACTGGTTCGCTTACGGTTCCAATGATAAGGGGCCAACTAACGGAAGCGCAGGAAATCGTGAGTGACACTGGGTTGCGAGTTGCAACTAGTCTCAGTTTGGGATCAGAGAGAGTGGCGTGCATTTCCTAAACCAGTCAAAGACCGAAGCAAAGCTGGACCAAAGCAATCCTAGATCACTTTTGGTGCTGAAAACTAATCTTCATCTGTAAAACGCTACTTTCGGCCGTTTTTCTTTCGTTAGTTTATCATTGTCCGGAATCAACGGACAGATATCGCTCACAGGCGCTGGAAACCGGTGACAACAGTGTCCGTGTAAGAGAGCAATGAAAGTAAAATGAACACGTGATACTTACCCTTGCCATGTCTGTTCCTTTGGTTTGAGACCAAGTGTGGCGCGAATAATCCCTGAGCCTTCTAGCCAGCGGATTTTTAATCTTAAAATAGCGAATGAATTCGTTTATCTGCAGAGACTCCTTGCGATATCGAAAGTTACTTGAGTACTGGCCGTGAATGATGGCCGTCACATTTCCAAATATAGCAGCGTGCATCACAGCTGGGGGCAAAAAAAATCGAATTACTGTAAATTACCTGAAGATTACATGTATCCTTAGACGCAGATTTTGCTAATAACTGTACACAAATGTCGTTGAAATCACGACACTAAACTCATCGCAAATTGCGATGAACATCTAGGAGGGGGCCGATACCATACCAATTTAAAATGCGTACGGACTTACCACCCATAAGCATACAGCATATCGAGAAAATCCTCTCTCCATCTGTATTTGCTGCCACATTACCAAAACCCACAGTTGTACACAGAGTCATGACGTAATAAAGCGACGTCAGATATCTGGATCGAAGAGAGGGACCGCTGGTCGGATCTCCATCCTCGATCGGTTTCTCCATCTGATAACCCAGAACACTTAGCCAGGACAAGCCGTCGTACGTCACTGCCTCTTGCTGCCCGATTGCATACCAAATGCAGGCTAACCAATGAGCAACCAGCATAAAAAACATGATCATCAAGAACAATAACGACGTCATGTACTCATAGTTTCGATCCAGCTTCCGCGCGGCACGAAACAGCCGTAATAGTCGAGCTGTTTTAAGAAGACTAAACAACATAGTGTTCTGAAAGTAAAAACAGATCAGATCAGCCTTTATCGAAAGTCGACACTTTTCACGATATCATTCGCTTGTTACCAATGGTTCGCATCTACTACTATTTGCTCTCTTAAAGTAAAAACCGCTGTCCACTGTTAACCCTTTAACCCCTGAGAGGGATTGGTAACAATTTTCCCACATCAGTATCACCACTAAAGCAAGCATTGAGGTCATGAGAATAAAGGAAATGAACACCAACTAAAGAAGCTCTTGATTGTTAAACAAATTCTCCTTGCCAGCATATTAAGAAATGTATAGAGTACAGTATGGAGAATATGCATACTGATGTTGGGATGTGAGGGTTCATGAATTTCATTTGGAAAGCCAAATCTATAGGAGCACGAAAATGATTTAAAATAAAGACGAGAATTTTAATAACCGTCTAAAAAAATCAAAGATTTGGCCGCAACCTAACAAAGTGTAACGAATGCTAACAATGGAGAGCATGATCTCACCACATAAATAACTCGCTTGTTAAAAGATAGTGAGGCCAATTGATCGCCTTAAACTGCGACCTTCGTTAAAATGGTGAATTAACGTGCCGTTAGGGTCGGTATTAAAACAACGTTCAGCCGCTAATCAGCAAAACCATGTGCTAACCATATCTTAAATTTTTCCTTTTCAGGAACAGCGTCTAAGACACTCGTAAAGTCAGCAATGGAAAATTATATCTTTACTTAAAACATCCACTTGTAAATAATATTGAGGTCTGTGGATTGCTTAAAACAGCGACTTTTACCCTTTAACCTCTAAGAGTGACCATCATCCGTTTTCTCCTTACACAATCGCCACTGATTCAAATATTAACGTTATGAATAGGAAGGAATAAACGCCAGGGTAAGTATGTTTTAAATGATCAAATATACTATTCTCCTCACAATTTTCATAGGGAACGTACAGAGAGCAGTGTGGAGAATCTGCACACTGATGTAAGGGTGTACAGGGGTTAACCGGTATGTTTCAGGTCAGTTCTCACCTCCTCTGTCCCAGAGTTAAGGCTGGCCAGCAAGTCCCAAGGGATGGCAGCTACAAAATCTACCACAAAGTAAGTCTTAAAATAATGAACCGCGATCTTCCACGGGTTGGTGATGAGGACTTCTCCTTCCTTGACGTATGTGGTGCGGAAGTTCATGACAATGTCGATCATGAAAAGGAAGTCTATGATCAGATCAGTGTACAGAAGTGGATAAGCCTCAGGGTACCTCAGTCTTAACTTCTCGAAAAAATCTAGTGAGGATCCACCAGCTGCGAATCGATAAAAAAAAGAAAACTGCGATTAGTTTTTAGTCACTGTGGATCTGAACCAGTGTGTCTTACTTGGCACAAAGTTTATCACACTCCCTTGCCCTAAGAGTTTGGATAGCAATTGATGTATCAAAAATACCTACGTTAATACATAAATAAATAACACATCAAAGGAAATGAATGAAGGAATGAACATATTAGTCGCTCAATTAACGTCAAAGTAGCATCATCATGGCGTCTCATCGTAATAACTATTTACACCCTAACATTAACGTTTATATTCTTCACACTTTCCACTCTCTATATTTTACGGTAATGACAAGAAGAGAATTTTTTTTTTTTTGAAAATCAGGAATTTCTTAACTTAGTGATCATTTTTATCATTCTCATGACCTTTACAATTGATTCAAGAGTGATACTGTGAGGAGAAATTAGCAGCCAATCACTCTTGAGAGTTAAGGGTAAAGGGAGTTATGGCGCTATTCGGTATCATTTCCCTTTCTGAGACACTCAGGCTGCAAAAAGCAGTTGAAATAATTATAACAACGTTCATTATCTTCGACCGCTTAAAATGCAAATTTAAATAAACACTAGCTTATGCAAGTAAGGCCAAAAGTCTATCTATTGATCTTCCTTTCAGGTAGTTCTGGCTAATTGAGGTTTGGACACAAAAGAGAGCTAGCCATAGAATCGACATACTGCTGGGAACAGCTGCACTCTAATTTGTCTTATGGTAGTTAAAAGGCTAAAGTTCTGTGTGATACAGAATGTTGCGCGTGCCAAAATTAATTTTTTTATTTCTTCTTTTTTCTAAACTCTACCTTTAGCACAACAGCATGAAAAACACCCTAGACTCTAATCGCAAGGCAACTTATGGCTACCGGTAGTTTTTCACATTGTTCGGAGAAATTATGTTTACTTTACATATGGCAGAAGTTGGCGGCATATTTTGCTCCCGCGCATGATCATAATCTTGTTAATTGAATCCGAAAGAAAAAAATCTTCACTTCTTTTGTAAATGGTAATCCTGAAAATTTAATACAAAACAAGCTTAGCAGAGCATTTTCAATATCTGGTTTGCTTGAAGAATACTTCCGTCAAAAAGACAGTATAATGGACTCGGTTTCAAATGTCCATAAAAAATTGTATTTCAGGCATTTTTGATACAGTGATAAACGTTGATCATCTCTAATTGAACTGACGCCTCCTTCCAATTCGTGACGGGATTAAAGTGTATTCGACGTGAGAAAGCAGTTTTATCACAAAACACAACAGGTTTCCTCCAGTTGAAAAAATATAGATAACCTCAAGGCCCTCCATAAAGAGATGTTTTAAGTGTTAGCATGCAAAACACAGATATGATGTGAAGGGCCTTCGGGAAAGTTTTTATGAAGATTTTATCATGCCCTGAACATTTCATATTCTCATGCTGTGAGATCCCCCGTGATCTCAGACCTTTTGGCTAATGATCTAGGAAACTATATTTACAAGTATTTGCAAAGCTTTTGCATTTTTTGGCAAATCATTAGCAGATCATATGTAATTTCAAATTGAAAACTATGATTCTAACAGTTCTTCTCTTTGAAAGGAAATTTGTTTTAAACCTCTTCGAGCATTTTCGTTTTTTCTTTTTTTTTCCCCTTTTTTTGGGAAAACATGCAAGCATCCTTGAACCATTAGGCTTGGAACAAAAAAAAAACCCACAATACAGCACCTATAAAGTTTCTAAGAATATAAACTACTGAGTAATGCTCATTTTGCCTGTGGGCTGAACGAAATTGGGCACTAAAAATATAAAACGAGCTTCCAGAAGGATTCAGGGAATAATGGGGAGGAAAAAAACATCAATTTATCTGATGCTGATTCAGAAAACAAAATCTCGAACCTTCCAAAGTCTAAATTACAAACTTGGCCAAGATAACAGAGAACTAAAATTCCAAAATTAAAAATTTGAGAAGCGAGATAAAAAATCTCTACTTAAGATTCATCAGGCTAAACTTGTCGCAGCCTGAAGCAAGTTCACTTGATGAAGTTCACTGCAATGGTTTTTCACAACTTCCGAAAAGATAGAGACACACGCAAATTAACTGTTGATAGACTAACAAAGTGTTGACTGACCAGTCAGGGCATCCTTACCATGGTTTTCAACTTCATCCCGCGCTATTATGAAAGCTGACACAAACGGCACCTCAATAGCAGTGTAAAGCACTAAAATCAAAATCAGCCAATCCCAAGTTATTTTGAATAATCCATAATGTAGGATGATTCTGTTCCTCATCTGTTCGGGAATTTGGTTTTTGTAGCGTTTGTACTTCGAGCGCCATCTCTTGAACGCCGCCATGATCTGAAAGAATAAAAACAATCAAATGAGGTACTAAAGAGCCAGTGAAACGTTACCAATCTACAGAAATAAGGAGTGGCAGTAAAAATACAAAGAAATCTGTTGAAATGAAAATAGAGTATAGACGAGGCAAAACCGGATAAGAGGCGCAAAACACGCTACACCACGAAAAATTCGCGTTAGTCACGAGGAGGATACCATTATCACGCATGTAAGCTACAATAGAAGCTAAACTATCGAAATAAATGCACATAGCATATGCACATAACCTGCTTCTTAATCACGTACATCTAGCTCTAAGTTTGTCAAAACAAATAAGTTTGCATTTCTTACAGTGTCCTTATCGCTTACCATCACGAAACGATCTCGTTGCTACGCGTGATAAGTAGTCTTACACTTTGAGCTGAAAAAGATCTTAACAACAAACGCGCCAAACTGGCTCAGAGGTTTGTGATAAACAGGTCGCTAAAACCTTGAACGCAGTGGTCGCTTAACCTCATCATCTCCTGGCAAAATTGAACTGTCGATGACCCATCGCTTTCCTTACTAAGTAACATGTTATCTCACATATTATGTTGGCACAGTTGGAGCTGTAGATATGAAGACAATGGAGGAAAGGTTTGAAGCAATAATAAGTTTTGTATCCAAGACGTGAGACAACAAGCAACATCTGTCGCGAGCGCTTGAATAATTGATAACTCTCATTCGAAGTCGATTGTAAAATTATATTTTTGCGTTGGAATCGAGACTGGAAAGAGAATACACGCCCCTGAGTATAAGTCACTTTTTTCCAAAGTAACTAACTACTAGCCGAATCGAACCAAATGGTCGGGCCTCCGACGAAAACGTAGGTTAGCATGTTTTTGAAGCGACAGTTGTCAAATTTCAACAATATAGTGCTTCACTCATGAAATGAGTATTTTGACTGACACAACACTAATACGTAATGCTGTTTGCATTTTTCTTAGAAAAGTCTACTTTCGACCGCGATTAGGTGAATAAAAGGATAAACTATCAGGAAACCTCATGTCTTAAACAGCGACAGGTTAACAACGCAAAGCCTTATTTTTTACATTGTTAAGTTAACTGATGAAGTACTAACGTCTGTTGCCACCTCCACTTTGCTATTGCAGCACCAATTTACTTCACCGATCAGGAAAATGTCACTTGATAGAAAACTGAGTTAAAATTCTAATTCTTTCTCGTATCTTTTCAACGCTTTTGCGTAAAGTTGATTCAGCAAGGCAGTGAAACAAAGAATACATAGGCAATTCATCTACAGCGGAAGAAGACTTCCGTTCTGATTTCGCAGTCCAAAAAATTTGGTCATGAAAAATTTGTAACATAATTTTGAAGCCTTTCATTTAGGGAAGGGAGGGGATGTTTGATTCTGTCACAAACGAGAAAACCGACGACATATTTTACCATTATTTAAATGTGACCGCGATAAACTGAATAAAGTAGCAGGTGCTGTAGAGAACAAACAAAAGAATATCTAGTTTCTACGAGTTCGTGCTTCATCAACCTCCTCTTCTCCTTTAATCCTTTTTTTATCGAAGCGCAATTTGTAAGATAAGTTAAGCTTCTATGCGAAAGATCACGTTAACTTTTATCGCAATCTCTTTAGACAGCCTGGACTTAAACTTCGGGGCAATTCTGAAATTAAGAAACCAACCCGCGCCAAGCATTTGCATGTGATATTACCATGATAAACATAAAATAAACTTCAAGACGAAATTGGAGACCATATTTTCTCAAGTAGAGTGCAATTCGTGTGCATAAGAAATCGAAAGCGCTTGAAGTGCACGAGGTACGGTTTGGCTGGTTTAGGCTGAGTGGCGTGTAAACATGAGCCATTCTGAGTGAAAATATAGCTCAACTACATAACAGAACTGCAAAAGAAATACAAACTTAATAAAAGTTTGGCACTTAAAGCTATGAATTATATGGACGCATTGAGCTAGCGAGTAGAATTACTGCCTTGTGTACCATATCATATTGTAGCAAGTGTATCTAAAATTACACATCAAAACAGCATTCGATAGCCTAGTTTTGTCTCAACAAATTTGGACTTCGATAATAATAAGAGATTTCAAAAGTATTTCAGCTCTTACCAAACATGAAATAAAACTTCTGGAAGGAAGGAAAGAAGGCATGGGCAACACAAGGTAAAGATTTAAAATAGCTGGGCTTATTTTTTTAGCCTAACACAGCAAATGACAAACTTCTACCGCCGTTCCTTTTCCACGTCGTGCAGCCTTCACTCGCCAGAAATTGAACGAGGGAGTAATTGCTAACATTGTGAGCCTTTAGGTCGACGAATAAACCTATTTTAGAAGCAATTTAGACACCTGCAAGTCGAAATGCTGACCACAGTACAAGCCCAGAAACCATGTTTACAGTTGCAAAGCTTACGTTTGGGTTATACTCAATCGTAAACCTAACGCCTTAGGCGTTTAAGTTATCAGTTTACAGTTTTTTTTTTGTACAATGCTAACGATTGTCAAACCAGTCAATTAAATGGATGTAAAAACTTTTTAAGTATCCACACAGTGAGATGAGATGACTCACAGATATCTGCTTTATGAATACTACAAACACACATACTTAGTGGTCGAAATAGAAGATTACCAACACAAAAGATTTCTTCAAATGTATTTTGATAAGATAAAAAAACTATCACGACAGTTTCGTATTTGTCGTTCCCTTTCTCACATTCTACTCTTTTTGAAGTCTACTTATAAAGGTTTAACCGTCAAGTTTTGAAAGTTTCATAAAATTCAAGTACGGTATCTCTCTTTATTGATAGGAAGCATTGCTTTTCGTGCGTGTTTTTGCCAATTTCTAAGCATTGAGGTCACCCTCCACAAGAAACTTACTAATTGCGGTTTTGATAGACAGGAAATGTTTCCCAATGGAGACAAAAAGGCTAAGAAAATTTCTAAAGTTTACGTTATAAATCTCATAAACTTCAATGTATTTTTTCCAGACAGAGCCCCTTTCCTCGAGTGTGACGCAAATTCCCCGGAGAGAGAGCTTCCTCCTCGGTAGAAGCTCAGTTCTGGACCCTGGCATGTTATCAGGAACGAATTGGCATAGTTTTCTTTACAAGAAAATTAATAATTTTTGTTTCAAATTTAATGAAGACAAGGTCAATGCCAAAGCCTAATGTAACCTAATTACGAGGCTGGGTGGAGCCGCCGTGCAATTCTAACCGCAGTGCATACTTATCACAGAAGAACTGTTTTAGTCCAGAGTAAAAAATGGACAAAGGAAGTATTCAGTTTCGTATAAATTTCTTCTCTTTCGTGATCACAGATATTAATGTTGATTAGTCAGGAATGGCGTCTAATTTTCTTGATAACCATTCTGAGGATGTAGTTGTAAAATTCATGCCCTAATTTTTAAATATTAGCCGCATAACTTGAAGTTTGAAAGAATCAACAGATAAAATTGAATACAATGCAATTACTCGCGCAACTGATTGTCTGGCTATTGTCAATTGATTATTCGACACTACGCATTTGACCCACCTCAGCTATTACAAACTGAAGACGCTTAAAAGCGAACGAAATTTAAATGAGGTTTATCAACTTTTGGTTAGACTGAAACTAAAAGAAAAAACTCATTAACCGCAGTACGTCCTTGGCGTCATGGAAATTGCACACATTTCCAAACGGTCCTAGACTGATTACTGCGTCATAGCGGTGAGGTTTCAAATTGAGCTTCGAAGTACCAAAACCACAGTTATAACAAGGACCAATGAGAACAAAGGTTGATATCATCAGTAGCCAATAAGAATTCAAAGCAAAACACCGACTCTGATTCACTCTTGCTTATTATGCGTAATTCTCATCGACCGTCTCTCTCTCTCTCTCTCTCTTTCACTCTGATCGACTCTTTTTCTTTAACTCTGCTCAACTAACTATAAACCCTACAGCACGACATGCTTCTATATTAGCTAATTGATAGGCATTAGTGGGCATGCTGGCCAACTAGCCTTGGAGGATCGAGCATTTGTTGTCAGAACAATGAACAATCCAAAGACTTTCAAAAGGAATCTTGAAATTGAACATCAACCAACTTGATGTTTCCAATCAAACAATTTACCCTTGAGTGTCATATCCAAAACAAGTTCTTTAGAGTGAATCTAAGGCAAGGTCAGACGACAAACTAAGCACGTCCAATTATGAAATATGGAGGAGATAGATTACCCAATTACTTCGGATTTTGAATCTTGACTAAATGTTAACTTAAAAAATAATTGATTGAAATGATAACTAACTAAATTTTGCACAATAAAATAAAACAAACTTCTCACAAAAAGGTCTTTGTTTTTAATTATTACAACTTTTTTCGCATTTGAGATAAATTGTCTGTAAAATCTTTGAACAGATACGTATCATGGCTATTGCAAGAAATGAGAAGGCCCTATCAAGCTTAGGGAAGAACTGAAGGCCATTGAATACAATTATGTTCATCCTTTGACAGGTTTCTTTTCTGTTATTAGCTTTCGCAATGCATATGGATACGAATAACAATATTTAGGCAAATCGGGTCTACCAATCAAAACAGTCCCCGCAAAGCTTCCTTTTTATCAAGTGCCCTACAACAAAAGCGTGGAAAGATCAAATTAGGGGTTTATTCTCGCAGCCAATAACAGCAAGAAACACCCGGCGGAAAAGCGGAAATCGAACATCGCAGAGAAGTTCAAAATTATAATCAGGGCAGAGTATTGAAAGCCTTAACACCGATCGACTTTTTTATTGTGCTGTCTTGATATTCGGATGAAGAGATATCACATTAAACCAAGCAAAAACGTGAGCTAAAAAAGCCTAGAAAGAAAAAAAAAATTAAAAAAAGAAACGCCACAGCCACTAAGAGTTTTAATCTTATGGTCGAGCCACTTAATCTTTTGTGCGGTTTAGTCACATCTACTTTGACAGACGTCTTTTAATTCCAAAAACTTTTCTGAGAAAGGTGTTAAGCGCTTATCTAGCGTC